CGCCCCACCCCCACCCCCGGGGCCGCGAAACCCCCCCCCCCCCCCCCCCCCACCGCCTGCTCCAGGATCACAAAGAACGGGGAGGTGGTGTACTTCCTGGCGGAGCCGCACGTGGACCACCTGACGCAAGCGAAGGGATGGCTCGCGGAGCGCGTCAAGTCGTGCGAGCAGTCGGAGGGGTCGGTCGGGGGCCGAGCATGCGCGGACTCAGTGCTGACGGTGAGGCAGTCTTTCATGTGCCACTCACTGCTGCATTTTTTTTTTTTTTATGCCCTTTTCAAGAGAGAAATATGGGGGGGGAATCCGGCCTTGTCCCTGCTGGTTGATTCACGGGGTACAGCAGTCTCTTGCGCCGATCCACACAGCACACCTCTGCTCTTACCTTCTCGGCGTGTGTGTGTGTTTGTGTGTTTCCCGTCCAAACCCTCATCCCATCTCAATTATCATCTACCCCGGCCGAACCTCTCCACTTCCACCGCTCTGGTGTAGGCGGGAAGGGGCTAACACAAGAGGCGCCCCTCCTCCCCTCCCGCAAGCCCCCTATGCCCGCGTTCCCTCCATCTCGTATCTCGCCTATTGTTGTTGTTTTTTGTTTGTGCGTATTGCCCCCCCATTGGTCCGGCATTCCCTTCATTTATTGCGCGCTTTTCTGGTTGTGTTTGTGCAGGTCTGCGTGCCCCCTATTTCCCGACATTCCCTCAGTTTGCAGGGCGCCTCTTGATGTTTGATTAGTTCGTGCGGCTTTGCCCCCTATTGCCCGGCATGCCCTCAGTTTTTCATGGCGTCTTGCTAATTTCTCTTGCGTTTTTTTTCTCTTCTCCTGCCACCCTTGACGCTTTGGGGGGGCGCGCTGTGTACGCGAAGGTGCTCCTGACTAGCGGACAGACGCTGGAGGGCGGCTTCTACAAGCATGAGACCATCCACGACGTCTACGCGTTCTTGCAGTCCAGTGTCGTCAACGGGGGGTGCGTGCGTGCGTCGGGAAACAGTCTTTCGTTTTTCTTCCGGTGTCTCTCTCTCTCTACGCGCGAATGATGTACTAGCCATCCGATGTAAATTAATTTTTTTTGTAGATACAGAGAATTGTCAGCTGGGAACGCCGCTTAGTGGAAAACCCGGGCGTGATAATGTAGCTCGTGTCATCGGTTTCTTGTTTGGGGCCGTGTGAGTTTGGTCGTTGCTTCGGCCGTGTGTTCTGCGAGCGAGAACCCCTTGCATCCGAACCTTGCACCCCCCCCCCCCCCCCCCGGGGGGGGGGGAAAACAAGGTTCCCGGGGGGTTTGGGCCAAGGACGGCGGGAACCGGGGTGGGGAATGGAATTTTCCGGGGGGTTTGGGCCAACGGGCCGGTGGGGTCCTGGCCGCCTGGCCATCCCCGGGGCCAAAAAACCACCAGGGAATGGCGGGGAAGGGGGGGGGGGAACCAAAGGCCGGGGGCGCGAAAAAAAAAACCCCTGGGGGCCAAGGGAAAACCCCCAAAAAAACCAACGGACCGGGAAAGGGAAGGAAGTTCACCGGGAACAAAAAAAAAACCAAAAAAAATTCTGGACAAAAACAAAAAAACCTAAAAAACCCTTTGCGGGGCAAACGAAAAAAACCTTTGGGGGGCCCCCGGCCCCCCCGGGCCTCCCCCCAGGGTGGCC